GAGCAGAGCAGGGTCTGGATCCAATTCCTGCTTTCTATCAGCACAAATAGAAGTGGTCACTTGTCAAACCTCCATGAAAAACACTCGTGGGACAAACCCAGAAAATGGCAAACAGTACAGACCGACAAATCACTCCACCCAGTTTGATTTAGAGTTCAGACCTCAACGACCATAGACGTCGCTGCATTCTGACCGAAATGAGCATTCTCTTCACACCATATTATTCATACTGACACTGTTATCAGGACTTTGCGGGATCTGGATTTGATTTGGAATGACAGAGCTTATTCTCAACACCAATTCCAAAAAGACCAAGACTGATTTTGACAGTGCAGTGTACACAGGCGGGCGGGGGTAAGGCCATACATACCATAATATATTCAGTGGGGTTGACTCAAGTCTGATAGGACTAAAATTTATAGTCACAAACTGGAATTTAATCTGTGAGAGACAGCAGGACGGATCTGTTTGGCGTTATGGCCAATATTGATTCACTGCCCACGCAGTAACTATAGGATTGTTGCAAACAACGTCGGTTAATTACGAGTTTTAATAACATCACTGCAGATTTTCTACAACCAAAAAGTTATTCCACTAAATGCAGACTCAAATCATGTGAAGTCAAACAAGATGTTCCATCACGTCATACATTTTCTAAATGCAGTGCTTTTGTTAGATTTCTTACTATACCGCTCATGTCAGTGAACACATGCATTAGCATTCGCAAAGAACGTATATAGTCTTCCTTTCAACGCCTGACTGAGTGTTTAAAATAACTGTGGAAAAATTCAATACTTTTTGTCTCCATGTTTGGTCTATAGACTTTTACCTGCTGAGTCCAGAGACTCACCAAGTCTCCATCCTGTCCCAAACTATTTCCCCGGCCAGTACAAAGGCCATCTGGGGTGCAAGCGAGAGCTTCAGTAAGAAAATAACTCTTTCAATCTGCTCTCTGCATGGCTCTGACTGCAGGGCGCTGAGGTCGCCAACGCTAAGACTTACTGAATCTCCTCCTCCGCCTCCTTCCTCTCCTCCATCTAATCCTGGCCTACATGACTGACTCCAAGTGGAAGCCCCACAAGTCAGAGGTGGGAGCCAAAAGCACTGTGAGATTCAAAGAAGGACCACCTGCTCATCAAACTAAATTGCACTCGCTGAAGGCAAAGGGTAAGAAAAGGAGGGACGCAGGAGTGGAAAAATGAGGAAGAATGAAAAGAAAGACAAGTCACAGCCCTCCCTCTGTGATCTTGGCAGACAAAAGAACAAATTGCATTGATGCATCGTGGCACCCAAGGGTCAGAATGGAGTCCCACTCGGTACTGTCATGCATGTGAACATGTCGGTACGCTCCGGGTTCCATCGGTTCCCACACAGGAGCCACGGCTGTGCACAGTTCTACCTCTCAGCCTTTCATCTTGCCGTCTTTTGTATTCTGCTACACATGTGTCTGTTGTCTCTCTTCTTTATTTGACAGAATTGACTGTTATTATTACAAACAGCATTATTATTTTTTTGTTTTAAAGCCACAGGTCTCAGGACTATGCACTCCCCAGGAGCCAGGTCTGGACGGAGCTGCAAACAATATCCCTAGATAAAAGCTCAGTAGAGAGCAGCGTGGACGCCAGACAGTTTGGACAGGCCTTCATCCTGGCTCCACGTCCTCAGAGTGAGGCTGAGTATCTACAAAGACTACACTACAGCTTTAATCTTCCAGGCACTTTCAGGCAGACAGACATTTGAACTCAGCCCGGCTCTCTGGAAGGCAATCACTAGTCATTCAGGTTGTTAGAAACCAGCCACAACAAACAAATACATTTATATAACATTCTAAAAAGTGGAAACACTGACAAAAGCTACATGAAAGCTTTTCATATTCACTATTTAGGTGTGAAAGTGTTGTCGTGGTGAAGTCCACCCGGTCGTCCTCCAACCCGGCCGTAGCTCACACCGTTGGTGGGACTCACATGTTCTAGGAGCTGAGGCTGTTTCCTAAAGGCGGCCATGCGTGATGAGTTATTTTAAAAGTGGTGTGGAGAGCTGACGTGTGGCCAGGATGGGCTAGGGCAGCGGTTGGGGTCTCGGCTTAGTGACTCAAGCCCCTCGCTCCAGTGGTCGTAGAGCATCAGCTCCTGGCCAGAGCCTGGACACTGATTTATTGGACAGGGGGATTATCATGAAGTCAGCCACGAGGACCACCCAGCCGGAGGCACAGGATGACGAGCACGCAGGCACACATGCTCGCTAACTCCCACTCACACAGTCACACATGCATTTTACACACCTTTATAAACCAATGTCTACAGATATCCATGTTGTTAAAACAAATACGGCTCGTGTAAATTCTCACCATATAAAGTGTTAAAAATTCAACTTCGGGCCGCACGGAAAAACAAGCTAGAAAAGCTGTCCATGTGATTTTTAATGACCCTGTAAACCACACAAGTGCACTGGGATGGATTAGTTCACTGAGGTTTCCTCATTACCGCAGAGCAAGGAAGGCAGTTTTGCTCATCAGGGTTTTTATGCATCTACAGGATGTCACCAAGGAAAATGTGGTTCAAAGGAAAGTGGGTTTTCTGTAAACCAGAAGGTCAGAGGTTCAATCCCTGAGTTCCTTTTTTCTGGTCAGGACTGTGTTCAAATACGTTAAGCATCTGTAACTACATGAATTTTTTCATGTCATGTCTTCACATGTATTTGGCATGTCTACATTCTACAAAAGGGGGTTCCCTGTTGACTATAGTTGAGCATCGATATTGCTTCACACACTTGGGAGCTACTTTCTATAAATATTTTATACACTTTTTTATATGTATATACTTTCAATATATTTTAATCATATAAATAGAACATACTTTATATGCATTAAATGCTATATGCTACATTATATGTAGCTGTATTGCACTATATGATTCAATTCTTACATTATATGGTTATTACTACACACCATAGAGTTACATATATTTATATTGTTATTTTATTTTGTTATTTCAATTGCTTCTGATCTACCAGCACACCCTTCCTGAGCTACTGGTAAATTGCAATCTATTAATTGGCCACTCCTGCTTTACAGAATTTTGTCAACGTACACTGTAAATCCTGCAAACTTCTTATCTCACTCAACAAAGAAAATAAAATAAAACAAAAAGATTTGAATTGCTTGGGTTTTTTTGCCTGGTTGCACCCCCTGGAGGGTCCAGCCCCACACTTTGGAATCCAATGCTGTGTACAAATGACTGATGTACTGTCCTGACAATTTAGAAATGCCAATTAAAGGTACATGTACAGCTTTTATCAGAAAGTGATACTACTCTTGAAATATGAAATTCTTGATGTCCTCATTTACAGTTTTGTAGCTGAAAATACTTAGCCACATTCAAATCTGTTTTTTCATTAATCCTGAAAGAACAAGAGCGAGGAAAAAAAAAAAAAAAAAAAAAATCGAGGAATGGCACATATTTCCCACTTGCCAGGGCACAGCACAACTCCCCCTCCAGGCACCAGTCGGATGAGTTGAACAATAAGAGTCAATGACAAATCGGACGCAGTGCATTCCTTGGGCAAACACTCACCTCATAAAAAGAGACAGGTAGGCAAACACTCACCTGCCCTAAGCTAATAACACATGGAGGCAAACACACACACACACACGGGTACACATGCGCATTTCAGCTCCTCGATAAGTTGAGAAAAAGAAAAGATTTTGTAAAATAAACAAATAAATGAAAAATATTATTTCGCAGTGATTACACTTTTCACACCAAAACGAGTCTGTGTTAGTAAAAAAAAAAGATTATCATTATTTCATCAAACTCACAAACAACCCACACTTCTTTACATTTGATAAATAACTAATATTTTTTTTCTTTCATCTTCCAGCAAAGAAGCTGCACAACATGGACGGAGTGATCATTATCTGTGGATTCAACTGCAAACAGTGGAGCATTTTTTAAAACTCTTCTCTGTTTGTGTGTTTAAGCATTCCTGTCTGTGTGTGATAACGTCTAAACACTGTTTGCGAGTCAGGAAATTATTGATCACCGACTGTAGTCGCTTTCTGACCACACACACAACAGACATTTTCCCAGCGGAGAACAGACAAAACTGCTTAACCCAAATAAGCTACAGCGACCTCGACGCTTCCTAGTCATGTGACTCTCCCTAGCTGCTTGACGATTGGTCTTCTCTGAAGAAGACAGCGAGGAGGTGGTTGCGGTGGGCGGTGGGGAAGAGTCTGGCTGCAGAACCATGAGAAAAAACAAATTCCTGCCACATTGCCATGGAGATGAGTCAACAGCAGGTTGGGGGCCAGGGAGATGTGGGGCACAGGCTGACCTGCGGTAGTTAACAATTCATCCCTGTATCCGGCTCCCAAATGATTGGGCAAACACGAGTGCTGTGGAGTCAAAAGGCCTCCGGGGGTCTGAGAGAGGGGCATCACCCTGGGGTGACACGCTGACAGGCACACACTGGATGGTAGAGGGTGGATCAGCAGAAAGGGGGGAGACCGGGAGAGAGGTTGATTGGATGCGGGAGAGAAGCTAAGTACCGCACAGTTAGTACCACGGGCGCCAGCGCGGTCTCACGTGACTGACGGCCGTAGTTCTGTACAGCAGTGTAATTAAATGATTTGAGCAGAGATGTTAATTTGCTGGATGACAGCGTTCTGGTCAATACGCCGCAACAAAGAACAGTGAGAAACTTCACTTTAAATGTTTCATGTTAAACTTAATACTTAACAACGTTTGTTTTACAGCTGTGTCAGCAGTGAAACAGAGGTTGTCTGAGTTTTATGAGCCACAGTTACACTATAAACTCATTTTGCTGGATTGGAGGTTAGATCAAAAATAAACAACAGTTGATAAAGAAATAATACATTTGGCTAACATCTTAAAAACGCGATAAAAACCAATAACCTGTAGTTTAGAAATGCACTTGAAAACAAGTGGCTGTCACCTCAACAAGAAGCTCAGTGACGTAGAAAATGTACATTGACTCACCAAAGGATTCCTGGAAAATGGGTACATTCCAAGAGTTTGGATTCCTTGGCTGTAACACAAAGAGACAACATCAGTTCACAGAGTGAACTTAGACTGCAGTATTCCATTACTGTGTGCTACCTGGTTAACTTTTCCTGCTGCATTTATACAGCTGGGTTCATTTAAGACTTAGGACATGTAATATGAGTTACATTGGGAAATAATTAGTTGAAGGCCCCCAGCCACAGAACCAGGATCCAAAACACTGACCTGTTTATCTCACAAGACAGAAGTGTTTGTCAATAATGGGTCAGAATCACAGAAGGAGGAATAGATGGGTGGTTCGGGTTGATCAGTTTGCCAGAATGTAGCCTAAAAACAATATGAAAACGCCACCATTGCAACAGACCTGCTGTGTAAGAAGGGTGTGTTAGCAGAGGGCTCCTGCTACTGGTTATCCACTGCTGCTAACGTCACAGGAGTGTTTCCACAGCTGAAGCATGTTCTCTCTTCAGCTGGAATTAGGGAAATGGTCTACCAAATCCCTAAAAATTAAAAACAGTCATAAAACTATGTTTTTCTTTTTTCCGAAAATGACGTGCAGATAGAGGGTGGGAGTGAAAGATGTAAAAATAAAAATAAGTTAAAAATAACAGATGTTAGGAGTCACTTCTCGAAAGGTGTGTCATTCAGGGAGCTGGGGAAAAAGCTTTGGCCACGGACGAGCTCTAAATATAGCATGTTCACTAAAATAAAAAATGAGTTCAGCCACTGGCACTGGAACGCTCTCCTCCCCATTCATGATCTCAACGGTGTAGTCAGCGTCACTCATGACGAAAACACTAACCATTTAAAACAAAAAAGACCTCCTCAAATACTCGCTGTTCATTAAAGTACGACCACAAGTTAATGTTCCCTGTAAACGGTCGTATTATTGTGATCCATAGGAAAAAATACAACACGCCGCTTCACCAAGAGATGGCGCACTTTCCAAAAAATGTTGCAAAAACATGTGATATAATACAACACTTGAACCTTTAATTATCGAAAGGAACAGGAAAATTCCATTGTTTCTTTGCTGACCAAACTAAATGTGTGATCGATTGTAACCGTACTGCTTTGTTTTGCTAACATCATTTCAATTAAGTAAAAAAAATGGAATCACTTTCGCCGTGTCCCCGTATCAGGGGTCGTTGCAGCCCCAACCTGATGAGGACGAGGCGATATCGAAACCCACGGCCTCCTTGTGGTAGACATGTGAGCTGCAGTACCACTGAACTACTCTAGCTCTAAATAACTAAAATATGGATGATTATTGAAATAGTAATTTTAAAATAATTTATATAATGTATAATCATTGATATTCATTAACTGAATCTAAACACCAAATAAATGTGGGTTTTTGTCCAGCTGAAAGTGTGTTGTAAATATGTGCCAAACAAATATAATAGACTTGACATTAGGTAAATATATGTGTTAAATTATACTTGATACAGTTGAGAGAGCTAGTCAAAAAGCACAACACAAACTGCCAGTTATGGAAAAAAATAAGTAATTTATCAAACCACAGATTAGACTTTGAATCAAGTTTATATTCTAGAAAAATAATCCGGTAATTTGCTGTCACCTAGTTCCCTTCTGTACATGTCTGTGTGAACTCTAACAGGAGACGAAGTATAAAGTATCTATTTGTTGACTGTAGCCATACATGCCGGGGATGAGCCCTGCGTGTGGCAGACTGAGGAGGATGCCCTGAGGCCCGCCTGCAGAGACCGGGTCCTAACTAAGCTCCAAAACATGTGAGTATCAGGCCTGTAACTAAAACAAAGGCATAAACAAAGACGATGTTAAGAATTACACCCTGTGATGTGGCCTCAGGGCAGAGCAGCCAGCACAGGTGTAACTGTGACACAGCTACCAGTGCATTTCTTGTCCTCTCTCTCTCTCTCTTTCTCTCTCTCTTCTGCCAGTGGAGGTCTGAATGACAGCTCGTCATCTGCCCCTGTTGCCTATGAGAAACTTGTTCAAACATCTGCAGGCATTTGTAAATCTGTGTGTGTATCCAGGGACACACACACACAGAAGGATTAAAAGAGCCTTATGTCAAATCAAAGAAAACCCTCGAAGCACAATAACACAGATTTTCCCACATAATCCTGAATCTTTCTGCCATTTAACTTGCTCATCTATGAAGTATATAGAAGGAGACAGTCATATTAGGATTTTATTTTTTCGGTTAAATCCTTATTTAAAAAAAAAAAAAAAAACGTCAAGTGAAAGCAGCAGGTAAAAACAGGAAAGCCAGCACATTTCCTCAGTAAACAGCACCCTCTAGAGAAGCACTCAATCCAAGAAAAACCCTGCTCTCCTCAGTCAAAGGTCTCAGCAACAGCTGTAGAAAAAAGTATATAATAATTAGAAGTTATTCCTAATATTTTCTGACAGTGGAACAAACTTAAAAAGTGTATTTTTTAAAAATATGATCATCTCGGGGTCTGTGTCTGATTTCAGAGCACACTGCAGAGGTGAGGTTACACATCTCATTTTCCCAGTGTGAGTTTATAATGAGGCAGGCTGTTATTAAAATGTTTTCTTTAATCGTGTGCAGGGTTATTAAGGGCGGTTTATAGTACACAGGGGAGCTTAAGGTAGGCCAGGCATGACACACAGTGAGCTGAGGAAGCCAACGATGAGCCAGCTCCCCACAACTGTGGAGAAGGCTTACAAATATGAAAGCACAGTAGGACACCGAACATGGCAGGGACAAAACCACTTTCCCACCCTCTTCTTCTGCTCCTCTGCCTCTGTCTCACCCCGGCTTCGCCTCAAATCACGTTACACAACCACCAAGAAATGCCCTGCACGTCACACGGTGGTGCAAAAACGAGAAGAAAATGCAACAACAACTGTACAGACTGGAGATATGTGAGCACCGTCTGTCAGGTTCCCCTTTTTTTGGTCAAAGTGGAAACCACGACAGAGAGCTGGACAGAGCAGTGAAGACTGCTCCCTTAACTGCTTCACACGGGCTTAAATAAACCACGACAGCCCATGAGACGCAGCTCTCTGCACCAACCGTGGAGCACACACCTTCTCTTTATTTTTCCATGCCATTAAAAAAAAACAAAAAAACTAGACATTGTAGTGTTTCAACACGTTTGTTGGAATTTAGGGAGCACTTGGAAATCCATCATTTCATGAGTATTTGGAACGTTCCCACGGAATTTGCACCTTTTTTTCCACACATTAGAGTAATTCTCAATTATAGCAGTGTTCAGTTCTTAGATTTTGAAACATAAAGTGCGTGTCTTCTCGGCTCTGTGTGATTTGTCTCCGTGTTTTTTTACTTGTGAGGACAAAATGTAACAATAACTGTAATTCACAGTTTGAGTGCATTGGCCAAAGGTGTGTGTGAGTATGTTTGTCTGTGTGTGTGTATCAAGTTAGCAGAAGGTCAGAACGGTGAAGTATTAGCGAGCTGTTTGCTCTCCTCCATGTACTCTCAGGGACAGGCCTGTTTGAGAGTTTGAACAATGACGTGTGAAACCCGTTAAAAAAAAAAAAAACAGGACACAGAGCGGCTCTGTTTGCTCAAGAACACCTAAAGAATGGACTGCCCCCAGAAAACAAAAACTCTGGCCCCACATTCCTCCTGTCCGTCAAAACCTACCTGTTAAACTAGATGTTGACACACACTGGAAAAAGGTAGTTAGTTACAGGTAAAAACACCAGCGCTGGGATGACTTGCAATTTGTTTAAAGTATTTTTGGCTCTCTGACCTTTGACACTGACCCACCACAACACTGACAGCATTCTCCTTGGGTCTACAGGTACATGAAAACTACTGCTACATCTTCCTTGCATATTTAAAAACACGGGAAAGAGCTCTCCTTGTTTTTAGATACACTTTGTTTGAACAGGATATTTCCTGTTCAAAAAAAGTGTATCTAAAAACAAGGAGAGCCTCACTGTTAGACCAAATTAATGCAGATTAATCTTTAAATCTACTTAAATAATTCTGTCTAGAGTTGAGGTACCTGAGTCTTCCTAATGTAGGACTTTTTTGCTACATGTAAAATGAATGTAACAAAACATTTAGCTTGTTTTCTAGCACAGCTGTATTTGCGGGGAATGAGGAAACTTTTTTACTCTATTTATAACATTTGATGCTTCATCAACAGAGTATGATGACCTTTTTTAAATTATTAAATCAAATTATAGGCTTCATTGAAGACGAAAATAGACGATGACGGAAAGTTATGAGGAACAGTAGCGGCCTCTGTCTTTGTCTATGGTTGAAGATCTACAATTGGGGACAGAGAACCTGGACATAACTTACAAAATAAATCTGAGTGAGAGAATAAACTTTATATATAGTGCAAGATTCTAAATCTTGATGACATTTAAATATATTTTAGAATTGTCTAAAGGCAAAGTACCATCAACTGTACTCCAGCATCTGATGTTCTGCTCCTGATTTATTTCAAAGAATGTCATTATTTGACTGATTATACCATTGAAGTAAATTTGTACTTTTATGTACTGTATAAAAACACATTAGGAAACAGACTAATAATGTCTTTTTTTCTCTCTCTCTCATTCGTGTGGCATCTGTTTTATGAAACGCGTTAATGATGTCTCTTATGTAAGATGTGATTAAACTGGTGAAAACAGTCTGACGGAGACAATGGCTCAGTTAAAGGCTGACACCGGCTGTAAATTCATCCCGTGGAATACATGAAAGAGCCAGAGAAAGGGAGAGAGATAGGGGCGCCGGGAGATTACAGGCCCCTCCTCGCCATCATCTTTCCTGTCCTATCAGAGCGGGCGTTGGGAGAACTGGATGTGATTTGTATGTGTGTTTTTGAAGAGGGGTGCTCATAAACAGCCATGAAAGGGGCCCCTCCATTCAGTCTGCCAACCAAGGAACGCTTCACTGGACCGGCCTTTTGTTTTCGCCCTCTTCACTCAAACTTAAGCAGAGAAAAAAAGAGTGCGATTCCCCTCGATGGGTGCAGGCCCAAATGATGCCATCAGGTTGGTGCCCACTTAGAGTGATAAAGGCTTCAG